GGATTTGGAAAGTACATGCACATATAACAAGGACAAAAAGGAAACAAGGAGAAGACATTATTTGAATGGTAGGAAATAGTTAAATATTTTTTCCATTGTGATAGCTACTGAGTTATATTAAAATGTTATTTATGTAATAATTTTTATTTAAAAACTATATAGAGTAGGAAGAGGCAGAGCGAGACGGGAAAAAGGCACAGAATCAACTGAGAATTGACTTTCTAAAACTCCAGATGACACTGCAGGATGAGGGTGAGTCCCCCAGCTGAGGTTTTCCTCACTGCACCAGGTCTGGAGGAAGTGCTAGCTGGGAATCTGTCTAACCAGCTCAGCAGGTTATTCATCTCAGGGCAGCCCTTCCTTTCCCTACCCGCTCTGCTACTCTCAATGTTCAGGTTGGTTTCACCTGCTGTATAAACACTATACACTGAGGAGCCAATCCTGCCTCCAGATAGGATGAGAAAGCAGGCAGCAAGAGCCGTAGCCTGGGCACAGAAAGGGGCTTCGGCACATGAGCTGCTTCAGAACCCAGGGCCTTCAGTGCACCTGTCCTTACCTGTTGAAGCATCTCTTCAGCAGCATTGAGTTTCACCTGGTGTCCTTCCAGACACACTTCCAGGTCTCGAATCTTCTCTCCCTGGGCTTCCACTTGGTCTGTGAGGACACTCACCTGTTCCAGGAAATAAAGCAAGGGTAGAGGAGCAGGGATTTGACATGGGGCAGAAAAGCCTCCCCCCGCTGCAGGGGAGCTGTGAAACCTCACCACTGACTCTTATACAGAGCAAACAGTTTTGCCTTTGGCTGAGAGGCAGGTAGAGGAAGTGTCCTGAATGAAGGCAGCTCCAGTTAGATTCTTACCTTACAAGGGAGTCTCGGCCACTGCTCTGATGAAATGGGTTACGTTTACTCCTCTTGACAGACTCAAGAGAAAAACACCCAACAGCCACAGAAGCTGCCTCTGGGCTGGACTCATGCTCCTTATTCCTCTTACTGAACAGCCCCGACCTGAAGGCACATCTCAGCAGGCTTGCCAGGACTTCTGCAACCTCATGTGGAAGAGCTTTCCAAACTTCATGAAAACTAACCAATGACCTTACCTCTCTCATAAGGGTGTGAGGACTGCTCACCTATCAGGCGAGTGTTTTGATGCCATTAATGAATGTGGGCTGTAAAGGGCATGTATTAGCACTGATAAAACTTGGCTCCAGAAAGGGTTTTGTGCTTCACAGGCCAAAACATGACTCTAAGTCATAAATATAGAGGAGCCACATTACACATATGGTGGCAGAAAAAAAAGTCATCTTTCTAAAGAACACTGAGAATCTCTTTTGAAAATATGAATGAGTAAAAACTCATTTACTCATTCAAATTATGCCCTAACTATATACTAGCAATGGCTTTCATAGCCTTCTCTATTAGCAAACTGCTCCAGGATTCTTTTTCTTTATTAAGAGATGGTTCAAAGCAAGAAGAGAATGAGTGTCTTCCCAAAAGTGAAGAAATTAGCAGTTAGTAAATTGAGATCCTTTAGACTTTTTTTTATCAGTCATTGCCATTTGTATATAGATTTCCAGAATTATTTCTCAGCCTATAACGTAAGGATAGATGGAGCATGAGTTAATGTAAGTTCATTTATGAGTGTTTAAATAAATTTTCTGAATTATAAAGCTCCTGTTTAAAAAGGAACTAATCTAAATTAATATGCCTACTTTAAGCTCTCCACTTTTATGTTCCCAAATGATTAATGAATTATTAAAACATATTCCTGGAGTCGACACAGGGCTAACATTCCACTTTTAAGCAAAAAAGTGGTTTAAAACCTTTGTAGGTGGGTGTGTATTTATTACTCCCTGTGATAGTAATAGTGCCCAACACTCAGCCATCCTGAACTAACTCCACTTTCAAAAAGGTAGGCCTCTGGGGGTGGGCTTTGCTCGCTGGAATCCAGAGTTTCTGCCTGTGAAGGATGTTTTCTGGTTAATCTTATTATGAAGATTAGACATTTCTATGGACTATACCATGCCTTGAGGCTATGTGTTGGTGATACCTGAGGAATCATAGGATCTCTAGCATTCTATAGCTAATTGTTCAGCTCCAGGGGACTTCGGAACACCAATGCTGATTCTAAGTATTATGAATGAGGGGATGTAGAAAATCTCAACAAAATACATAAAGGTCCTAAAATGTGACCTTTGTTCACTAAAAACAACTATTTTTAGTGAGACCCTACTAGATGTTAGGCATAGTTCTAGGTACTGAGGGATACAGACGTTAAAAAAAAAAAAAAAGGATGAAATTTCTTAAGGATTTTCATTATAATGAAAATATAAGAGATCTGGGGTTTGTCCTAGAAACAGAGTATTTTGTTATGTGTGATTTGTCTTGTTTTATGAGTAGAACCAAAAAAACTTTCTGGGCCAAGGGCTCCAAATTAAGTCAGTCTGGCTGAGCTTGTGTGTGCATTAAGCAAGAGCCTCTACCCTGCTGAGAATCTGTCTAACCAGCTCCGCTGGGCCACTGCAGAACAGGAGTGATCACGTAACAGACACTCCTGGAGTCTGCCCATAAGCTCTCAGTACAGTGGAAACCACTAGGGTCAGCTTCTGACTTTACTGGTAAGCAGCTTCCCAATTGTGTTAGGATTATTTAAATAGGGATCGTTCAAGAATTTGGAATTTTAGAAAACTATGAATGTGAAGGAAGCATTATTACACAGGAATTTAAAAAATTAAATTGTAATCCTCTCTAAATAGGAATGTGCTATTTCAATCATGAAGGGTCCTGGTTCAAAAGTTTGCAATTTCATACTGTTTGCTGCAAAATCTTACATTAGATACTCTTTCACTAATCATGTCATTGAGATAAGAGTTTCAAATTACACATCCCTCAAACATCTGTGCTACAATGTGCTATTCAATCTGGCCCCTGCTACCTCTCTAAAGGCGGCTCCCACCGCCCTTCTGGGCACAGACGCCAGGTACAATAGCCCCTTGCTGTTCTTCCCACACACCAAGCACACTCTTGCCTCAGTGTGTGGGCTGGACTGACCACCTGCTCTGTCTGGAATGCACTTCTCCAGGTATCTGCATGGCTCCCTCCCCAGCTTCCTCCTGTAAAGGAGATCTTCCTTTTAGTACACAGTCCTCATCTTGCTTTACTTTTTTCCATAGTTCTTATCATCACCTAAACTAGTTTATATATTGGCTTATTGCCAATACACACTCTCTCTTTTTTTTTTGAGACAGAGCCTCACTCTGTCGCCCAGGCTGAGTGCAGTGGTGCGATCTCGGCTCACTGAAACCTCTGCCTCCTGGGTTCAATCAATTCTCCTGACTCAGCCTCCTGAGTACCTGGGATTACAGGCGCCTGCCACCACACCCAGCTAAACTTTCGTATTTTTAGTAGAGATGGGGTTTCAACATATTGGTCAGGCTGATCTCAAACTCCCGACCTGGTGATTCACCTGCTTTGGCCTTCCAAAGTGCTGGGATCACAAGTGCATGCCACCAAGCCCGGCTAATTTTTGTATTTTTAGTAGAGATGGGGATTCACCATGTTGGCCAGGCTGGTCTACAACTCCTAACCTCAGGTGATTCACCCCCCGTCGGCCTCCCAGAATGTTGGGATTACAGACATGAGCCACCGCGCCTGGCCCACTCTCTCTCTCTCAAATGGAAGATCCACAAGAATGGGAACTGAGTCTGCCTCTTTCAGTGCTGCATCCCAGCATCAAAAACCAGCATCTCACAGTTGTATATACTCAATTATTTTATAATGAATAAATCAATGAAGAAAAATACAAAACTGGAATGTAAAACCATATATTTAGTGTGAGCTCAGTTATTTAGAATAGAAGCAAAAGAAAAAAAAAAAAAAAAACAAAACGCTGGAAAAAAGGCCAGAACATTAACCTGCTTCTTCAAATTTTTAGAATTTTTAAAGTTTCTAAAATAATTTATTACCCTTATGTTCATAAAATACAATGAAAGAATAAAATAAATAAGGTAAAAAGAAAAAAAATAAACACACTGCCACCTCATAACCCTAGTGCTCCAAGCTGAAGCCCATAGCCTGGGTAGGGTACAAGGCCCCCCCGACCCCTACCTCCATTCTACCACCAGTCTAACTCATCACCCTTTAAACTTTAAGGAGCTGGGATTAGGATACTAGTCTTTATATTTTCCAAATCACCAATTAATATCTGATGCATACCAGACCTTGAGCAAATGCTTGCTAAATCAATTTATACTTTCAAGAGATAACATAGCAAAGAGCTAGGACTGCTTCTTCAACAGGGTTCTTAAGGGAATACCTAATTCTATGGCCTACAAGGCACACAAACGTTCAAAAGTGAGAAAGCTCCTTTGCCTATCTTTTTCCATTAAAGGTGTTGGAGTTCCTCTCTTTCAAGCAAGAGAGCTATCGAAGGCTTAGCTCTTATTACCAGCTCCAGGGAATTTGCCATCAAAGGGATCAGTCTAGATCCAACTTCAGACAATTTGGACTTGATTCCATTAGCATTCACCCTTAGACCTGTATCACCCACAGCTCTGTCTTATTAGGGGCATGAGGATATACCTCCCCTTCCTCACAAGACTCGGGAGCTTCTGGGGGACAGGGCCCATTTTGTTCATTCTTAGCACCTGGAAATCAGCCTGGTCATGGGGCTTCCAGTGTATACAGGCAGGTGCGGTAGTGCATGATAAATGAATGACTGAATTCACAGCCCCCCAAAGTCAGGTCTAGAGTTACGTAATTCTTTATTTCAGGAAAAGTTTTTTCTAAAAACATATGCTTTGGAAGCAGAAAAATTCCAAGAGAAAATCCCTTGTGCTTCCCTCCCACTTAAGAGAAACTACATAGTAGGAGGTAACAGGATAAGGTGATTCTCACCAAAAAAAAAAAGTACCCACCTGCAATATGAGGGACTCCTTATCTCCTTCTAGCCGTGCTAAGCGTTCCTGGTAGGTTTCATTACTAGCAGCACTGTGGTGGTTTACCTGGGTCTAAAGAGGACAGAAAAAAAAAGAATACACTTAAAAGGCTGGAAAAACATCTTACCAGCTTCTAAATGAAATAGGGGATGCATGTAATTTGTGAGGACAGTTTCACTGATTATATGTACAAAACCACTCACTGAAACAGGAAACCACAAGATTTCAAAACTACCATGAGGAGAACCAGATCACATGCCACTGAAAGGTGTGTCTTGGAAGTTGGCACAACCACCCCCTGGATGACCTCACTCCTGGCCAGGAGACGCTCTGTGAAACTCTAGGCCCAGCAGTACTTGACTTGACATGCTGGGTCTAGGTTAGCCAGAGGCACTGCCTCCAGAGGCATGGTGACAATGAGGGCCTGCTCTTTGAGGAGACTGGAGAGCCAGTACCATTCACCAAGGGACTACATGGGAACAGCTTCTGCTCAGATCTTGGTATCTCCTAACTCTCATGCCAGGGTCCCCTGAAGCCAAGGTACACCGTGCTGCATGGAGGCCCATCCTGAACATCAGAGTGAGCATGAAGGATGGGGAATGTCAACTACAAGGCCCTTCACTCACACCTCTCTTCCCACCCCAATCCCACCCTCCAGTAAGAGCTTTGGTAGCCAGGCTGGCAGGTCACATTTCCTCGGTGCTAGAGCTGAAAGAAGCAAGCTAAGACAAAACATCTTGAGAAGAACTTAAATAAGAGCCAGAGGGATGCCAGAGCTAAAGCACAGGAAATGACAAGTGGCCAGAAACGATAGAAAACAGAGGAAAGAAAGAGGATGTGGAATGTCAGAGGAGAGGCAGAATCTTACAAATGCCCCAAGCAGAGACAGGAGGTGTCACTTTCTTGGGTGTGTCTGACCTGCTTGTGGGCAGAGAGGAGGGAAGGAGCTGCTAATGTCACTAAGCTGGCCCCAACACCTCCTTCCTCCATGGTGAATGGAAGACTGAAACCAAGCTGGTCTGCAATCGGTCACCCAGAGGCTTGGCACTCTGAAAAAGTAGATCTGATTGCTAAATGTGGAAATGAGTATCACATAATCTGAGCTGGTCCAGTGAAATCAGTGCTTCAATATTCATAAGGCAGGTGTCCACTACCCTAGAGAAAAGCCTCAATTGTGCAGAGGCAGATGTGAGAGATCCAGAGTTGGGCCACCTTGTCCTAGGCCATTTCCCCACATTTCAACTTTTAGTATGGGCTTTCGCACCACCCTTCATGAGAAAGGGCACCTCCTTCCTCCCCTGATCCTACCCCTTCCCAATGCACTGCATAGGTGAGGGAGGCAACAGAGCCATGCCCAGTCCTAGAACAGAAATGTGGACCAAGCATACTGCACTCAAGCCTAGAGTCTCACTAGTGAAAAATACACTGATTGTTTGTTGAAGGTGCAGCCAGAGGACAGACCCAGGGGCCACTCCCTAGGCCAGCTGTGCCAGGTAGCACCTGCTGCCACACTACTGTCTTCTGCTCCAGCCCCTCTGGAGCCTATGTCTTGTTCATTGTTATGGGAGCGCTTTCATGCCACAGACAAAGAGCCTTAACAATCACAAAGGACGTCTTTGTTAATGGTAGTTTATTGTTGTTAAATTAATATTACAGTTCTCACATCAAACTCTCTGACTAGAATCCAAGGGTATAATCTATATTTTCTCAGAACCTGAGAAGAAAAGATAGGAAAATAATTCTTAATAGCAGATCAAATTCTTCTGTCAAATAACTCACATGATGGTGATTTCCAGTGGTCAGAGAAAAAGGACCCAGGTGTCCAAGAGAGGCTCTGCATGCAGAACCCCAGTGCCAAAGTCCACATGGACACGGAGCCACCTAGCACTGGCAGCTGCCTGTTCTCTGGCAGGAAATGGAGAGGAGACTAAAGACTCCTTCCACAGACTCCAGCAAGCCACTGAACCAACTGTGCTTTATTCAAATGGTGTCCAGTATATTCTTCATTATAATAAAAGGTCTACCCATGCAATCACCCAGAGAGGCAACTGTTTTTACTAGTTGACAAAAAAGAGTAAGAAAGTTGAAATCATAACTTCAGTTAATAAAATTTGTGACCCAGATTCGATAACACATGCTACAAGGGGGTAAAAATCTAGATTCAGGCTAGAAGCTAATAAAAAAAGAGAAGCACAACCAGTTAATAGATGCACAGATCAGTATGATAAAATCAAATCAACTGCCTAGGAGAAGCGTAACTATTCTCAAGCAAGAGAGAAACTTCTTGTTTTCACAGAGAGATTTTGTGTAACAGGATCAGCAATACCCATGATGGCACCCTTAGAGTAAACAGAGCCCAGGAGAACTCATTGCTTTTGTGTGATGCTCTCAGAGTAGTTCAGAGGCTAGTGGGTAATATGGGCCAAAGGTGAAAGCAATTCTGTGGAATTAATATAATATGGTCCAGGTACAGGGCTGTAAATACACAGCAAGCACCAAGTGCTCAGCATGTGCCAGGCACTGTTCAGAGCATTTTGCCATAATGTTTGCATTTCCTACAAAAATGTTTCTATTGAGTAATTAAAATCTATTTGAAAATCTGGAAGCCCTGTTAGAGGACCTAGAACAGTGGTTCCTGATATTTGTCCCTCCTATAACAGATTCAAGGAGCCAACTCCTTTCCCAGCAGTCACACTGGTCCATACAGCAGTGGTGTGCTTGGCAGACAGGTCCCTCCCCTACCCCTAATCATTGTTCTAGAGGAACAGTACATTTCCCTCTTCTACAGGTCCTTCAGAATCACTGCTATTCTCCAGCAATCTTTTAAAAGGTAGTAAACGGCAGTGAGAGATAATGTTCCAGACAGAAGCCCACAGTATCCCTATCCTTTGCTTTTAATGAAGTCAGAGCCATGTGTTTTCATGATCTAGACGGGACTGGCACGTGAAAAAACTGTGCTGTTCAGAAAGGCCAGGATCAAATGCCACCTCTGTCTGGAGAAAAACTTGGAAAGCATCTGAGAACAGGGCCAAGAAGGGGATTGTCTTGCTGAATGCTAATATTCGTCAGCCAAAGGTAAGGATTTACCTTTGGGTGAATCTGCATAATCTGTATTCTTATAACTCAGCAACAGGTTCAGTCACGTTCTGGTGTCATTCTTGCATTATAAAATGACTACATCATCAGGGCATATTAGCTTTGTGGTTATCAAAATGTGATTCCAATTTATTGAGAAATAGTTTTAAAAGACCAAGTTAGGACACATCTCTGTTTTGCTCTACTTTAAAAAGAGCTTGCTTTGTCAAAAGGTATACCTGGTCCTTTAATAGTGGAATTGCAAATAGAAGGCTTGGAAGGATAGTGGGTCCCTGTGTGATTGCAGGTTTGATGTGTCCCTGAAAAGTCTCGTCCATGTTCCTGATTAGGCAAATCAGTGTTAGAGCAGTTGCCCAGCTCTCCATGCATGAAGTCAGGTTGGAAGAACCATGCCCACATTCCACAGAGAAGAAAGTACAACCAAATTCTGAAGGATGCTACATGCTAATTTTCTACTGCTCCCCACTGTGGGATGGCAAGTGACTAAAGGAGAGTATCATCCACCCCCTGTTCTACTTGTTAAGGATGCTCATCCCACAGATGAATATAAGAAAGCTAATTTTTACTCAACCAAAGACATTAGCCACTAGGCTAGACCTGCCAATGGACTGAGGTACTAAGTTGTGTTACATATATTTGATCAAACTTCCTCCCCCTCTCTTTTGATGGTTATTGCTACAAACGTGACAAGGCAAAAATCAATCTTGTCATTCAAATTTTCCATGGTCAGAGCTGTTTCTGATACTATAATTCAGGTTAGTTACCTAAAAATATTGTGAGAACGCTGTGATATGTGTGCCCTGTGGAGGTGAATCGTTAACTACAGACTGACAGTTCCACATCCTCTTGAATTTTGACTAAAGAATGCCACAGTGAAACATACTACCTCTCCCATATCATGGAACTGAATCAAGACCAGGACTTCTTGAACGCATGTTGTTAAGAACGCGGCACGTTTAGTCAAGATTATTGAAGCCAAACCAACTTTGTGTCTATCAAGCTTTCCTCTCAAGAAGCTGAAGAGAGTCTTGGACACAAGGAATTCATCCTCTAAAACTCAGATTTCTTGGAGGCAAATATAAAACAGAGCACAGAGTTGTCACATCAAGGTCTTCCATAGGCCTTGAGAGTAATATTCCAGAGTGTCTTCAGAAACACTGATGACACACCTCCTTGATTCTTACAGGTTATCCCAGGGTCTGTTTCTGTAAGACCCAAATTGCTATCACTGCTGAGGCTGGGCAAGCCTAATGTGCAGCATGAGCAATGAACAGCCTAAGGTAGGGCTATTTTCTAAGCCATCTCTAACAGAGAGGCCTCAGGAAGATGCAGCAGCTGTGCAGGGTATTCTATGGTTGGGATCCTGGAGTTGCTCACCATAGTCAATCGGCCTCTGCAGGGAGAGGACAGAAAGCGAACTCCGAGTAGGCAGGATGGAGAGGACTGGCTGACTGCAAGATTCCAGCAGGGACAGTCTCCACATAAAGGGCAGTTTGGACCATACAATGACACTAGCCTCACCTGAACCAAGTCCTGTCCCTACCTCTCCCATCCCTCCCCTTGGTCAGTGAGTAAGAAATTTACTCTTGATAAGTTCGTCATGCACAGAGAACTGGATGCTGACAGACTCAAGAAATCAAGATTTCCGCACCATGGAGAACATTGGATTTTAACTAGAGATGAGATTTTCAGGGGATAAGTAAGGTCCAGAAGAGAAACTATCATGAATTGTGGAGAACCCTAAATCAGCCGATTTTCCCCTTGTTCTCTTGCTAAGGAATAGGAACAGAGAAGACTTGTCTCTATCTTGGCAGAGAATTCTTCCGCACCCTGCTTTAATGGAATCTATTGTTTGTCCCGAGTAGGCTGAGATCATCACCTTTACTGAAATTCAGTGGCCCAAATGAGGGCTGCCATCTTCTTAGAAAGGTCCTCATCTCCCTGCCACTGGCTTGTTGAAATCCTTCCTCTGAATTTTCAAACTTAGGAACAGAGCATGGTAGTGGTGGTGCCATAAAGTTCTGAGGTTGTCAGTGGCCGTGTCCTGCTCTATGTGGAAAAAGCTGGTTTGCAACAAGAGACAGCTATGAAGCCAATGTGCAAACAAAAGCCAAGAAAAGGACTGGGGGCATTCTCATCCCTGGTTCCTGCTGTCTAAAGGCAGAGATATATTCCAGTCCTTCCTATTTGTTCCCTCTCAGCTTAGTTCAAACTGAATTTCTGTTATTTGCAACCAAAAGTTCTGGTTAATGCATTTGTCTCAAAAGGTGATCAACTGACTAAAATTTACTCCTTTGGAAACAGACTTGCAGGAAAGAATTCCTGCTATTTGGATATAGTACTGAATTGCAAAGGAATTCTGCCTATTGTTGCTTGATTTGCTTAAACCGGCAATTTTTAAGGCAGGGTTGCCAGTCCTAAGCCAACTGTAGTTAAAACCAGGATTATCATCAGGGGCTAATTGAGATCTACTTCGTGGCACAGGGAGTGTCCCTGTGGGATGTACTAGGATAAAAAGGGCACCCAGTCTCCTTTGTGTGTGGAATAGATGGCTTTCTATCCACCACCTGTTTGCTTCCATTCTATTTCCCATGTAGAGCAAAAAGGTTAAGACAGGGAATGAATACGAGACGCAAGAGGCCCATGGGCATCAACCGGGGCTGGTGGAGGTGGGGAGCAAGATGTGCGATACGAAAAAGTAAGTTCAAACAAAACAAGAAATAAACAGGAGCTCAAGTCTAAAAGATATAATGGTGAATCAGAAAGTGAATAAATGAAGGGTAAATAATAAATATAGCTAACGACTATTTAATAAGTTATGTTGAAAGAATTACATGTCAGACACAGCTGCATAAATGCCAGGTCTGGGTGCTGGGAGGCTGGGAGCTCTGGCTTCTGTGTTCCCCATATTTGGCCCAGCTGAACTTCAAGCGGGGGATCCCTGGGGACTTTCTTGTGGTGCTTCCATATTCGTGTACAGAATTCCTATTGCATCCTCCTCCCCAAGGTACCACCTTCTCTGCAGCAAGAGGACAAACCAAGAATAATTAGGAGGCTGGGGCTGCACCTAACCATGTGGAATCTCAGGTAGGTCACCTCATCTCGGGCTTTCCATCCTTTCAATAGAAAAAATTATGCTTCACAGAGAAGCAGAGAGGGTCAGTTAGGTCAATATACCTGAAAACCTGGGGGAATAAAACTACAGAATGCTCTTTATAGCAGGATGCTCTACAAATTCCTGTGTGATATAAAGTTTTTGAATAATCTTAGGAATATGGAAATGATTTTAAATTATAATTTAACAAATGAATTTAGCTAAATTGTAAATGAATTTAGCTTTGTTTAATCTAAAAGGCTACCGTTCAGTTAGAAGTATTTAATGCCTTCTACAAAAGGTTTTAATTCACTCTTTATGTGTAAGAGAACAACAGGGACAATGTTTCTGATCAGGACACCTAAGAATCTATAAAGGCCTGTACAAACAACCCAAAGGAACAATAAACAAAATACTTTCAGGCTGGAAATGAAAAACAAAACAAAACAAAACAAAAACAAAGCCTGTGTGACAGTGACAACACAGAACCTGACATTAGTTAACAGCCCTGGGATCACGCCTTTGGGCCCCATTGCTCAAGAGGAGTTCCCTTCTCCACTATCCCTGAAAAAGTGCTCACATTGTTGAGTCATATATTCATGGCCACATGTTTTTCTCTGGTACAAATATTTTATTGTGTACTGAAAGTATTATGTGCTACATACACGTTTATAATGAGTACACTGGGAATTTTTATAGCTAGTATAACCAATCATAAACACTTGGATTTTTATTTCTGTTCCAATCTAGAGGTTAGTTCAAATTTGAGTTAAACACGAACTTTTTAGCCAAGTTAACCTCCAGCAGCCTCCTCAAAGACATCACCCTCTGACTGCTGTGGCTGTTCAGATCCATGATGCTTGCTCTCTCCTGGCCTAGCCCTTCCACTGTAGCTTGGCCAAGGGATAGCCGTGTTAGGCTCTCTGTGGAGCTCTAGACAGGGTGTGAGTGCTTGATGACATGGCTGGGATCCTGCAGATTTGCCAGGGGCATGACTGCTTTATGGCCTGGCTGGCATCTGGCAGGAGAATGCGCCGTGCACATGTGCTCTGGTACACCTCAGGGATGCCGGGTGAGGGCAGTTCTGCAGCACTCCTCAGCTGGCAGGACCCAGATGATTTCCTGTTGGCACTGTACTTCACTGAACTAGGAGAAGGAGTTGGTTCCAGAGTAGTCAGATGGGGTAAGGGGAAGATTACAACAGGGGTGCCATTGGCATACAAGTAAGGAATGTGGGAAAACCTAAGCCATCAGCTCCTCCATGTGACAGCTCTAGCCATCATGTTGGTTTCTGAAGCCAACAGCTGCTTCTCAGAGCTCTTGCCTTGGGATCCTCAAGATGGATCTGCCTTCCTTTTTTGATATCAATAATTGTCATCTTGGATAGGTCAAGAGTCATATTTCCTTCAGTGCTTCTAATAAGCTATACATTCCAGTGCCTCCAGGATCTTGGCCACAGTACATACACTGTCCCAACTGGTCAGAGCATGTTAAATTATATGATGGCTCTTTGCCTGTAAATACGCTGAGATTCTGAACACAGCATGTTGGGTAAGCCTTGTCCTGGATAAGCCTTAAAATAGTTTCTCCTCATTTAGCCACTTAGGTGACATGTATTTTTAGCTGAATAAGAAAACAAAAGAAAATGTATAGTGTTTCCAGGCTGCCTGGTCAAGAGGATCTTATCAAAACCCAGAAAACCAGTTACAAGCAAACCATAGCTACCAGGCACAGGGCATCAGGGGAGATATCAGTTACTAAGGTTATATCTTAAGCTCAGAAGTACCACTCACATGCAACCCTTTTAGAAACTTAGAATACACAGATCTTAAAAGTAAGGGGACCTAAATAAATAAATAAATAAATAAATAAATAAATAAATAAATAAGACTGGTTCACAAAGGCTATACCCAACACCAAGGGAACCCAGTAGTGTGAGTGTAGGCAGGTGCTTATAGAAAAGAAAACTTCCCCTAGATTTTTTGATTCAGCAGTTTTAGAGCTTTCTGGCACTTATTATAAACCCAACCATTCCCAGAACTAGTTTACTTTTTCTAGGTGAAGAACGGTTAAGCCAATCTACCATCTTTGGCACAGTGTTAAAGAAGTTTCTTCCAAATGCAAAGTGGATAGAGTGCAATCAGATCCTTGGCAACAGGAGTCCAACAAGAGAGAGCCTATCCTGACCTTGACCCTTATGCCCTCCTCCCCCCGCTCAATCATATATAAGGGGAGGTTAAGTATTGCTGATGGAGTTATCATCCAATGATCTAAATGTCTCCTTTTAAGGAATAACAAAGCAGAGTTCATAAACAGCAAGTAAATGGCTTCTTGGTTGATGAATGTTCATGTCATCACACTCCACGCATGCATTTATTCAATGACTTAAACATTCCTGAGCACCCACTAGGTGCCACTTTATGTGCTAAGCAATGATTTAGTCCCTGCCCTTAAAACGATCTGTGGTGGGGGCCGCGGTGGCTCTGGCCAATCATCCTGGCCAGAGGACAACTCGCTTGAGGAGGCGAGGCTATGAGTTCAAGGACAACCTGAGCAACATTACAAGCTCTCATTGATTAACAACAACAACAACAACAAAAATGCTCTGTGGTATTTCAGGAAAGAAGGACAGAAGGAAAAAAGAAATCAACCTTTGCAGCAGGATGTAATAAGTACTATCATAAAGAACTATATGCACACAAATGAGAGGAGAGACAAAAACATTTCACCCTCAAAAGAGAGAAGTGGCTTTACAGTGGAGGTACCATTTGAATGATTGAGCCTGAAGGCTATAAAGGAATTCCCCCAGGAGAATAGAAGAACAGCAGCTTTGGACATAGCCTTCCCAATACGGAGATGCTACCCATGAAGCTACGATGATCACTACCCTTCAGAGATTCTGCGCTTCCAGAACGAACACAGCAAACACAGGATACCTTAAGATGAACTGGCCATGCTCTCCAACCAAAGGGGCTGGCATGAAGCTCCTAACTGATCTTCCTGGGAAGCTAGATTTGTAGAGAAACACATTTGATTTACCAAGATTTTTTTCCCAAAAAATTATAACCCTGGCTAAGCTTGGTCACTGCTAAATTATCTTTATCTGGTGGCTCGACACCTAAAAGGCTTTAGCACTGGGCTGCAGAAATAGCATTTGTATGTGTGCTGGTATCCTGTGAAAAGAGAATGTGAAATCCAGGAGGAGAGTAAGAAGACAAGTCTTTGAAGACAGTCCTCTCCGTGCCAACTCCAATAGAAGCACTGAGTCGTTATTACTGAAAACACCTTCAGAGACAGTGCAGCAGGATTGGGTGTTAGAGTTGGGGTGGCACTGTGACTGTTTTAGCTCCCCTGGAGGCTTTAGAGCCTGGTGTGTCTTCAACTGCCTAGACCTCCCATATGAGCAACCAACATCATACAGGCATGAAAAATCCAAAGTTGGAGAACACAGAATTAGGCAAGGACCAAAGTGAGGAGCTGCTCCTTGGGTCACAAGAATGCCACAAATCCTACAAGATTTCGAAATGGAAATGAATACAAAGGGAAATGCATGGAGAAGATTACTTGGGAACTACAGGCAGCAAGAATAACATGACGGAAGGAATTTAAAAGATGACTATAGGAACAACGCTAGCGCTCACTGGAGGGAGAAGAGATGAACAAGCAGGCTAACAAATCACCAGGAATCTTAATGGTGAAAGGAAGGTAAGTTACAAGGCAGCATGAAGAGGCAAGCACAGGGTCAAAGACAGTTTTGGGTTTTTTTCCTGAGAACTTAGGAGAGAATTTTCCACCAAGGGTAAGGGACAGATTGGCAGGGAGGAGCTGAGAGAAGAAACAATCAGAGGAACAACAGAAGCTGGAACAGGATTGGGTCAAGGACAGGATACTGGGATAGCCTTGGCGGAGAGAAGGGACTCAGCCCATGAAACAGAGGGATGCTGAAAAATGATAGCTGAAACAGTTACATTTTGTGGTGAAAGGGAAGAAGCATCAGAGACTCAGCTCACTTTGGCTGTATTTTTTTCTTTGACATTGGTAGTGACATCAGTTGAAAGGAGAGTATGAGGTTGGAGACAAATGGGAAAGTGTGAAAGAGCTGCTATGGAGGATGGGAGGGAGAAAAGCAGGGATGAGTCAAAGGATCCCCAGGTGCTGTTGCCAGCCCACAAAACCACCAATGGCTGTGCTGCTCTGAACTGCCCACAAGCTGTTCAGCAAATGATGGTGGTGTGATGACACTTTGTAAAATCCCACTGAGTAAAAGAGGCCTCTCTTCAAGGAGCTGGCAGGAGTCACAGGTGCTGGGTGTCAGAGATGGCAGAATTCCAGCTTCTAAATTATACCAGGAAACATGATGTGCAGGCACCTTGGGTGTGTTGGCTAGAAATAGGAGGTATCATACAAAATTGAGGATAGCTAGTGCTCTTGGGTGACCATACCCACTGGTGCCTTTCTCCTGGGATGGAAAAACCTCTTTTCAGGCTCTGGAGTAACCAGAGGTTGTTAGTTCTGACCGATGTCATCATCCCCATAACTAACACTTATGAAGTGCTTCCTAAGCACTTAACATATATGGAACTGGCTGGGTGCAGTGCCTCATGCATATAATCCTAGCACTTTGGGAGGCTGAGGCAGGTGGATCACCTGAGATCAGCAGTTCAACACCAGCCTGGCCAACATGGCAAAACCCCGTCTCTACTAAAAATACAAAAATTAGCTGGGTATGGTGGCTCATGCCTGGAATCCCAGCTACTTGAGAGGCTGAGGCAGAAGAATCACTTGAACCCAGGAGGAGGAGACTGCAGTGAGCTGAGATCACACCACTGCACTCCCAGCCTAGGCAACAGAGCTAGACTCCGTCTCAAAAAAAAAAAAAAAATATATATATATATATATATATAAAATTGTTTATCCCTATATTATAGTCAAGGAAATTGAATTCCAGGAAGGTTAAATGAATTACCCAAGTTTACACAGAAATGAGATATGAGCCCAAGGAATCTAGATCCAGGATCCACGAGTGTTAAGAGCTAACTAGTAGAACAGCCTTCACAGAAGCTGCGGCCTCTTTCTGCAACTTTCACTGCAGCCCAAAATGCAAGGCAAGGCAATGTCTGGAGCAAGCGTGCATGTGTGTCTGCCTTTGCAGCTCTCTGGCCCAAGTGGCCAGGCTACTAGATTAACCATTTGGGCACCAGATGACATAGAATAAAGTCTCACATTAGCAGCTTGAGTTCATTCTACCTTCTACTGCAGAATCCAAGCCAACTGCATGGGGGACCCACAGTGATTCCATTTTCTTTGTGACTTCGGGTTGGAATGTGCTTAAGCACTGAGTGTGCTGGAAGCCAGGAAGCAGTGTGAAGATGCTGACAGTCTGGGATTTCTGTTCCTGGGAAAATAAACTCTTGCTGAAAGAGCAGTGATGGGTCCCACAGACCCTGCTTGGAGCTATTTTTAGAGGCATTTTCATGGCTGTGTGGGTTGGATCCACTGACCTCAATGTAGGACAGGTGTGAGCTGTTTGTGAGTCAGGAACCAAATAGCCGAGGGGGCTGAGACCCTCTGGATACTTGTGGCAGGGGACTACCTTGTTCTAGGCTTTGTGTGTTACAAGAATGAACTAGAGCATCAGCCCTGGTCAGCCTTCACTCAGCAACCAAAGCCAAGCTGGCCAGATCCAGCAGCCAATGAGACCTCTTGTCAGCTATGGTGGTCCAGGTTGCAGCTGCCTCTTCTAGGTCTTCAGTACGCTTGGTTTGAGACCTTGATCTGGAATGTGGGAAGGGGCATAGAGCTGAAGGACTGAATGGCCTGAGAGGCACTTCTAGGAGAGAACCTGGTCCCATCTCTTCCTCTTTCAACTTCCCCCTTCTTGGTAATCGCTAACAGCAGTTAAGGGCACACATGTTACTAAGTGTCTCTCATATGTATGATACTGTGCTAATTCTATTATCTTACTTAGTCCTCATAAAGCCTGTATGTGGTACGTACTATTATCTTCCTTATTTTACAGTTGAAGAAATCCAGGCTTTTGAGATGATTTACCTTGGACCACACAGCTGGTAAATGTGGCAATGTCAGGATTCTAATCCAGGCCTCACTCCAGACTGTATGTTCGTAACTATAAGATTAATAGTATACACTATCCCATCCCACAAAGGCCCTGGAGTAAGGTTTCTTTTCTGAACAAATATTTTCCCTCCAACTCTGTGCCTCTCTGAACATAGATGCCTCCCCTCTCTACCACCTTGGACTGATCAAAGGGCAAGGGCTTCTACTCTGTGCACCAGGCACCTCTTCTTCTAGAATCTATGCCCTCTGTAAAGGAGAATGAAGAAGACAGTGTTTCTACTTCAAAAACATGAGTTCAGAGAAACCAGCTCTCCCAGCCACCTCAGCTGAAGGAAGCACAGGAGAAGGGGTGGGTGGGTCATGCAGATGGGAAGTGCTGCAGACCTGGGCTAAAGGAGGTGGGAGGGAGTAAGGGTGAGTCTGAGGGGCCCATAATCAGGGTCATAAAATGAAAGGTGATTTTTGTTTTTGTTTTTTAAAAGATTTAAAAAATCTGGCAGTAGTGATTAGGGTAGAGAATAGGGAAAATACTCTGATCACACTGCCTATGACACGTCTAACAATTTGAGTTTTGCTTTTTTAATATGCTCTCTAAAATTCCCAAAGTAGGGCCAGGTGTGGTGGCTCACCCCTATAATCCCAGCACTTTGGGAGGCCGAGGTGGGAGGATCTCAAAGTCAAGAGATCGAGACCATCCTGGCCAACATGGTGAAACTCCGCCTCTACTAAAAATACAAAAATTAGCTGGGCATGGTGGCACACGCCTGTAGTCCTAGCTACTTGGGAGGCTAGGGCAGGAGAATTGCTTGAACCTGGGAGGTGGAGGTTGCAGTGAGCCGAGATCATGCCACTGTACTCCAGCCTGGCACCTGGCGACGGAGCGAGACTTTGTCTCAAAACAAAAACTAAAGCAAAAACAAAAATTCCCGAAGTAGAAGAAAAATATCTGTTTTGCTATGAGCCATCCTAGGGGGTTCTGAAGTCCCCTTGCTTCAAGTTTCTCTAAGCAAACTTCCAACTGTCTACAGGACCCAGAATACCCAGGGTCCTGGGACAAGAAGGGCCTTCTTACATTGCATCACTTGCAAAATTAGTTCCTCCACACATAGAAAGTCTCCTGTACTAGGCAGAGTTACAATATCTGCCCCAGGGGCTGAGACAAGGCTCTGACAATCCTAGGCACATGTTGGCTGAAAGGATTTCTTGATTAAAAGTTTCCTTTGGGATATAGGGAAAGAAAGACCAAGTGATGGAAAGTGCATTTCTTACCTATTTCCTGCCAGTATCTCCCCAGTGGGGCTTTTTAAAAGCTAAAGATGATGCAAACCTTTGCCAACACATCTGGTCATCTTGGCATGCTCTCTGGTGACCGTGATGCCCCAGGGGCTAGGCACAGACAGGATTTCTGCTGGGTTCTAAAGCAATAATTTTCTATATATTTGGCAGAGAAGATGGATAAAGAGAACTAGACTGGGAGATAGAGAACAGGGTTCAAGACCAGGCTGCACCACTAATAGCTATGACACTAATACCATGAGGTTCTTAGCCTCTCTAGGGCTTTGTTAAATGAGGGGTTTGTACTAACTGATCCCTCCAAGCCCTCAGCCCTATAATTGTGTTCAGTTTCCTTACTTTTCCCAACATAGCTTACCATATACCACATCACAGCTAGAGCAATTTTCTTAAAATACAAATTGGACCCCACAGTGTATCCCATGTTACTCCCCTGCTACAAGTCCCCCAGCATACAAACCATGTGGCCCACAAGCCTTACTGTGGCCTTAGCTGTCCTACGTGATCCTCTGCCCATCTCTGCTTGCCATCACTGCACTCAGCCACATGGGCTCTCTCTCAATCTGGAGAGATTGAGAGAGTCCATCTTGATTGGCAGACTCCATCTTGCTTTAGGACCTTTGTATACATCATCCCCTTTGCCTGGAATGTTCTTCACCCCATTTTTCACCTGACTCATTCTTACTACTCGTTCCGTTTTCAGCTAAGTGTAATTTCCTCAAACGCCCTGACCCTTCCTTCTCAAACAAAACATCAGTCCCGTGTCTTCTATTGTTCCTCCAGGCACACTTACTGTTTGTCATCTGAGGTTTATTTCCTGGGACTGTTTCACCTACGTCTCTAGCACCAGGTAGAAGATCCACAAGAGACTGGTTCTATTGTGCTCACTACTGTACACCCAGTACCCAAAACTCAGTAAAGATTTGCTGCATGAGTGCTGCTGCACTCACACAAAAGCCAGCCAGCTCAGTGTCTGGGAGTTGGGGTCCAGGGACCTGCATGCCCCTTCCGAGCTGGACGCTTCCTGGCTCTCCTGTCCTTCTGCAGTTACAAGGTCAAGTCTCTAACCTGTCAGCTGCTTTTGCCCTTCCTGCCTCTGAAAAATATTCAGCCTAAAATCCCTGAGTGTGAAAATAAATTCATACCTATCTTAGTCAATTTAAAGGCAGCCACAAAAGAGGAAACAGCCTGAATTCTAGGAGTGCGATGCTACTCCAGCCCCCAACGTTCATTCATTCCTTGCTCATACCACACACTAAGGCTTATCTAAAGAAAGGGCATGAACAACTTGCAACATAAATCCTCAGCTTCAGAGCATTCAAAAGAGAACTCCCTGAAAGCTTTCCTCTGGAAATGCAGAAGCTGATTCTGCTGACAGCAGATGTGTCCTCCACTGGATAAAATCAGAGTGAGAATGAGTTAAACAACTTCCGAATTCAGTGCATTTAAAAAGGCAGCAGCTTCCTTTTCAGTTTGTCCTCAAACTGAAAAGCAGTGGGCACAGTTTTCTGCTCACGGTGTTTGGAGCCACTGACTGTTTAAGTGCCAAAGTTAAAATAACCAACTTTCCTCACTCCATTCTTGCCTTTCTGTACAAGAGGCTCATTCACTAGAATGTCAGTGGAGAAACAAAGACAGCTGACTGTTTTCTCCCTGGTGTCTATAATTAGATTCTCATGAAGCACTGGGCCACAGCAGGGCTCTGCCGGACAATACCTCCCCCCACCATACACACACACACTCACCCCAAAACACCCTAAAGTGTCTCCCCCTCACTCATCTCCACGGAGACCCAGACAAAGCAGCCAGTCACTTACCCTCTTCAGCCACGAGAAATGCTTGTAAACATCAATGTCCCCATCCATGCTGGGCACCCATGTCAGCAGTTAGATGACTTGGTTGAAAAAGCCCTTTTGCTGGCTGGAGACCAAGTTCTCTCCTCCTTGCCTCTGCTCACTCCCCGCTCAAGAACTCCAAGCTGTGTTCAAATTTCCCCACTTCCCTGGCCTGTGTCCTTCAGCCTCTCCCTGGACAGTTTCAGACACACAGCGACTCAGAGCAGACCATGCTGCTCCAGTGTCCTCCCCGACCGCCCCCACAGATACATACGCGCGCGCACACACACGCACCAGGACTGGGATTCAGAGCCCTGCAAAGAAATCAAACCTAGCACAAAGGTGGGGGAAAAAGAAAGACTTGGACAGGAGTTGTAAACACAACACACAGGCACACACACACACAGGCACGCACACACACACACACACACACACACACACACACACACACACGGGACCGTTCTCAGTGATAATACCGGAGCCTGCCAGAGGGAAGCAGTCCTGAAGAAAATTCCTTGTCTGGCTTCCCCCTTCTGGAGTGGCTGGAACTCATTACTGAGAGCCCCGATTTCCTGTCTCAGCTTCACTCTGCATTTACCCAGGGCTCCCAGCTGCTCTCAGTTTATTTGGGACTGGGGAGAAGACTAAAAATAAGTGCTGCTCTTGGAGGAGCTCACTGGTTCCCACACACAGTCTGACCCCCGCCCCGAAGCTCACACCCACCCGTTTTCCAGGCGAGCAACAGGCTGTGCCCCAAGGAAAGCCTGCTGTTTCCAAAAAAGAGCAGATTGAGAAGCAGCTCCAGTCTGAGTTTTTGGTCCTGCTGAGCGACGGGCCCCATGCAGGGTGTTTGCTGTCCTTGGCGCTGGTGGTACCATCCCCTAGAGACCAACTGCCGCAGACTCGGGAGAGTCTAGTCCTGGGCTGTCGGCACCAGCCAGAGCTCCCTGGGGGCCACATTTTAGACAAGGGCCAGGGCTAAAGGGTCCTGCCTCTTTGGCTGTCCCCCATTCTGGAATACCTGGCTTTACAACCAGGGAGGTAGAAAGGGTGAGGCTGCTTCAAGTGTATTTCCACGAGACTTAGGGAGCAGTGCTGGGTAGACAAGAGCCTTGGAAAGGCCGGAGAGGTGGAGCTGTGGCTGTTTTCCTCCTGTCAGGGCAGGTCACATGCAGGCTCTCCAGGGCCCCTCCAGCATTCCCTGGATGCCACCCCCCCACCCCACCTCCTCTTCATATTCCCATCTCCTTTGAGAGCTTCCCGCTAAAAACAGCTTTTCCCCCTTACCCAGCCCTTAATGTGTGGCCTTTGGCTACGACTGATTATGAAAGTGACCTTTGATGTGGGTGCGGTGGGAACTGTGGTTACATGCAAGGCCCTGAGCTCTGCTGTGGCAAAGGACTTGCAGATGCACATCTTGTGACTGCCTGGGGCTTCCCAGCTCTCTGGGGTTTCCCGGAACTCCCAGTCTGAAGAGCAGGCCCTATGGGGTGTCAGCATGCCCCTCACATGGCTTCAATGTTCACCCAGGCCAGAAGCAGGGCCCAAAAGGGCAGAAACAAATGCCTGGCAGCACAGTCCACGGCAGGCTGGGCCAGCCCACAGAGATCACAGAGGCGGCAGGGAGGAGAGCCGGAGACAGCAGCTGGCACGAAGGGAGGAGTGAATTCCTGGAGACACACCCAGATGGGGGCCAGAAAGGAATAGCAGGCTTTGCTGCCTATGCACTGTGCTCCAGACCCTTGCTCCTCACCTCTTGCCCAGCTCCAAAGCACAGTGTGACCCACCCAGTCCAGGTTCCCTACCCACACTATGGCAGGAAGTGCCAAGGAAGAGCATCCCTAAAGGTGCAGGGAAAAGCAGCTTGGTTTTTCTCTGTCTAAAAGCCTGAACAAGTCAAATGAAGAAATTCATCCTGTCAGTATACATTTTCCCCCACATCCAAGGCAAATGAAACCAACTTCCTGGCCTGGGTTAAGGATTACCACATGGTATGCAATAAAGGTATATCTAGGACTCCAAGGAAGAAGAGGTAGACAAGCTCATTTGGGAGCTGGACAGGGAGAGGTGGTGCAGAGTTCCAGCCTCTATGGGATGGGAGAGAACACCCACTCTCCTGGGAGGAGCACAGTGCCCTTTCTTAGGTTCTGATACAAGAGAGGAGGAAGGAGAAATGTGGCCAATGTGGCTGCTCTCATTAGCCTTGCTAACTCCCAGCTTTCATGGAGCTGGGGCTCAGGTGTCCCTCTTCTAGTTCCTCCTGAGCACCTGCGTTCCCCTCAACTTCATCACTGACCTAGTCACACTGAACCATGCCTACTGCACCAGACTGTCAGAGGTGGGTCTGATTTCCCACTCACTTCTCCCACTTCCATGCCTTCAATTCTTAGCACACAGTACGAACTTGAACATTTTTTGGATAAAAGAATTAAGTCTCAAATGATAAGACTGACAAAGTAAGGCTAAAAAATGCTATTTGAGAAAAGAGACTTCAAGATCTTTTTCTCCAGGGTAAAGATGTTCAACACAAAGAGGAAAAGATGGTCAGTTTCCTCTGTGAGCTCAGCTCAGCTGTGAGGAACACAGGAGGAGGGTGCAGGGCTGGGGAGAGAAAGAGACGGAAAAGGGAGGAAGGGAGGGAGGAATCCGGATAAACAGCTAAATTCTTGACATTTTTATGGCATGTCAAGTAGCAAGTCTTATCTCAGCCCTGTTTTTCCTTAAACACCAAAGTAAATTTTACTTATATTGTAATTCAACTCAAAAATCACAGATTAACGCCCCAAAAGGCCTAGGAGCAAGTTGGCAGGAGGGAAAGGGGAGGGGCTTAGTGAAATGGGATTGATTGAGAAGCTAAGGCACCTCTTCACTCACTCACCGCACGCCCCCAACCGCCTCCAGGGGCAGCTGGGTCCCGGTTGTGGCTCCCTCATCTCACTGGCCTGGCAAGGCAAACCCATGGCTGCACCACTTCCCCAAGATGTCCATTCTGTCCAGGGCACCTCAACTGATCTACAGATGGGGTTCTAGGGATCAGATAAGCCCCTGAATATGTTTGTAAAATACACACAGAGTACATTTGTATGCATAAATTTTTCTCTGAAAAGAGTTTTCAGATGATCAGAACAGTCCACGACTCCTGAAAGGCTAGAAGCTCAGGTTTTATTCGGCCTAGGCAGTTACTCCCAAAGGTCAAGGCTGCCCTTGTTATTGGGGGCCCTGGGCTTCTTGCTTGCATTACACCGCTCTGTGAGGTGGTGTCTCAGACTCACTGGACCCATCTCTGAAGAGAGAAGTCCTCAGGAACCACAGACAGTACACAAATAGGGGTCACTACAGTGACCTAACAGCCCCCAGGGCCTTCCTGTAAGTACTTTGCTCACCTTCAGCCAGACTCAACTCATTGCTGCATGTAATATGCAGCAGCCAGCTGTGGGAAAGGGCAAGAGACTGTGAGGCTGAGCATTCTGGGAGTGAAAACACAGCTAAGAGGCCAGGGTGGTCAGGCTTGCCAGGAAAGTCACTGTAGCTTGCTCCACCCCAGTCCTAGGGTCTAGAAGAGAATCTCAGGATTGTCACCTACCTGGCTGGAATTCCAAGTACTTGAGGGAATGGGTGAAAGGGAAGCTGGGGTTCCCTGAGGTTCTACTCCTGCTGCCTACCAGAAGTCAGCAGCATCTTATCAGGCAGAACAGTAAACCGAGAGGAATCTCATGATCACATGCCTTTCCATTGACCTATCACCTACAGGCATCCTGGACTCAGCTCAGCCCCGAGCCTTCACCTCTGGGCCATGGGTGGCAGCTGCCAGGACACTCCCTCATAAATCCTCGTAAGTCAGAAACAAGCTTGTGTCCATCAGCATACATGGTGCACAGTGCGCCCGTTGCTAGTGAGGAGGAGGAGAAGGAGAGGGAAGAGCACAGTGGAGAAAGTCCTGGGCACTGCAGCTCAGGCCTCCACAGAACACAAGTGTGGAAACACACCTCCAAAACAGAACAGGACAAAGGTAGGCGGACTTTTCCTGTAAAGGGCCAGATGGTAAATATTTTGGGTTTGGTGGGCCACACAGTCTCTCTCATACTCAACTCTGTCTGCTATTTGCAGTGCCAAAGCAGCCACAGCCAACACCTAAACCAGCATGTGGCTGTGTTGCAGTGAAACTTTATTTATGGACACCACAATTTGAATTGTATACTATTTTCCCATCACAAAACATTCTTGTGATTTTTCTTCAGTCTTGAAAAATATAAAAATCATTCTTAGCTGATGAATGTAAGAAATATGCAGTGGGTTAACTGTAGGCCATGGTTTGCTAACCCCTGGGTTAGGACAGTGCTTCCCCATCCAGAATGAATTCTCTGGGCCTGAGGGGGTTCTAGTAAAAACGCAGATTCTGATTCAGTAGGTTGGATACAGGGCTTGCCGTTGTGCAAGCTCCCAGGTGATGCCCGCACCACTGGTCCCAGGACAATACTTGGAAGAGTAAGAGGTTAGGAAACTTCTTTCAAAAGTTCCTCAAGGCAGGCGCAGTGGCTCACTCCTGTAATCCCAACACTTTGGGAGGCTGAGGTGGGCAGATCACCTGAGGTCAAGAGTTCA